GTGAGCCAAGTAACGAGGACATTTAGCCAGCAATACAACCGCCAAGTGACAACCATCCATTGTTCCAATTCTAAAAAAATTAACGGCCCTCCCCCTTTAAGTTGGTCTCGATACGTCCCACCTCCACCACTATCAGCCTTACAAGGGACGGTCGTTCAGCGGTGTGCCAAGCTTTTTTCAAAACGGTCTTTTGCATGATATAGGGGCACATGCGGGAACCACAGAACCATGGTTAATTTTTCCTGAACGGCCCTCTGAATACCAGAAAAGGGGGTCCCTAGTCACACCTTTTTCACCAGTTTTTCAATCAAAGTCTATTTGTAAGGGTTACTGACGGTCCTAATCATGAATATGGTACTAATTATTCATGCTAACTCCATTTTGCGCGAAATTTTGAAACGTCAACTCGAAATGCAAAAATTTGTCACCACGAGGAATCGAACTAGGGACCCCTTTTCTGGTATTCAGAGGGCCGTTCAGGAAAAATGAACCATGCTTCTGTGGTCCCCATATGTGCCCCAATGTCATGCAAAAAAACCATTTTGAAAAAGCTTGGCACACCCTGAACGACCTTCCCTTGTTAGTGAGAGTTCGAGTGACGACCGTCGATGCAATCCACGCGCTACCGCCTTCCTCGCCATCTTTGCATTCTATAGTACTCGATTTTGAAGTCGGTCGACACACTCTAACTCTCAACATCTTACTCCTCAAAACTGGCATTGAAGGAGGGAGGGAGGGGAGCAGGGCCAACCACCCGTTGCCCCTTAATAGCGAGGGGATCGTAAGTCGGATCAATGGCGAAGAGGAGGAGGTGCGTAATGTCAACACTAATTACAAAATGTTGAAGGGCCACCAAGGCACGGCTAAGTGCCGACTCTGAACTACCACTGCGACACACACCACAGACGATTGAATGGCGCACCCCAGAGCAGGGTCAATCCTATGTTGCGACAAATACCAGCGGAGGGGGGGGGGGGGGGTCGTGGAAGTCTTACATAGAAGGGGGATGTCGTAAAAAATTTTCCGAAAAGTACGCCAACGCGTAGCGACCGACGCCGCCCAGAGATAGACTGCCACTTCGATACGTAATGACCAGTGAACCAAGCGATTTTTTTTAACGAAAACTCTCCTGGCTTTAGACGCAAATCAAAGTGGGAAGTGCAGGCAAATTCGGCGAGTTCACCTCTTAGAGCCTTGATAAAAAAGCCCTGACAGAAGAACGGTTCTCCTTTCATGTTAATTTAGCGCATGCTATGAAGCACTGATCTTGCTGATTTCAATGGTTTCCCACCTGCTCAATCTACCGACTTTGAAAAAACTTATGGCCCATTTCAAGGTTGAAAACTCGGGTTTCAGGAGAGAGAGGCGTAGAAAAGTCAAGGAGGGAAAAAACGAACATGGGGACAGTTTTTCGGAAAGTGGTCTTCAGAGAGTTTTATCATTTCTTCCAACCATGCAAGCAGCTTTGCGATCAGCGCGTTCAAGAAAACCTTATTATGGTAAACGATCCATCGAGAACCTCATTGGACTATTGGGCTCGACTGTGCGCCATGTTACCGTGGCGGCTTTTTCTGATTTCTTCCAACAGAGACCGCTATGAGTTTCAATTAATGTTGCAGGTACACATCAATTTTAAATGTTATATCATTCGGGTGGATTTTAGATCGCAGTCGAGATATATTTAAGCCCATTGTAATGTGAGAGACGTAATGTCTTTCTTTTATTTATGCCCCACCCCCCCCCGCCCTGGAGGGTGCGTGCCACTTGCACAGCGCATCATTAGCAGCTTAGTTCGTTGATTAAATGCAGCTTATCCTGATCAGAGTTCTTCCAGATTATGACTGTACATATTTCAGCATTCATGATGTTCTCTCGTTATCGTACCATATGGTACGTTTTGTACGGTTCTTCATGTCTGGGTCTCTCAGTTTGCTGTGCTCTTTTCGCAGACTTCGTCTCACTGCTAACACTGCACATAGTCTGTTTTGACGTCTATGCTTCACGGTGAGGACTTTTTCAGCTTTTTTGTATTGAAATTTCGTCACACCAGTTCTCCTTTGATTTTTGACATCAATTGATATCGCAGCCTTTGCACCCATTGGAACATCAAAATGTTGCCCTATTGTTGCTTTTCAATAATTCGCTATTTGGATTTTATTTCTTGATCACGAGCCAAACGATAAGTGTATGTCTGCCTCTCCTCCTCTGTCTGCCACCAGTGGTTATTTACGTTGTCATATTGAGTAGTTGATAAGATAGCGTGTGGTGGTGGGAGTCTACCTACCGAGTTCACCAACATTCTGTATTTGCATTTGAACTGTTGCGGTTGTACTACTTCAATTGCTGCTGAAGCTTTGTCATTCAACTCCTCACCGCTTATTCTACTTGCCTGTTCTACTATCGATGATCTCTGGAACATCGTCTCCACCAATCGGAAATGCAGAAATCTGATGAGACGGCCAGCTTACTGACCTCGGATACTCAGTCTGTGACGTCGTATGGTGGCACTAGTAATGCACCAAGCGCCGACGACACTCTTGATGCTGTGGATCCGATCACCCTCTCGTGGAGGGATCTACGGTGCGTTCATTATTAACTTTGTTTATGATCCAATACAAAAAGTCTTTGGAAAGATAATTTGCTAAATTACAGTTGATTCTAATGGGATTGCTAGGCTAAACATTCATTTAATTGACCTAATGGTTTGACTGAATCATCGTCTTCGAAGATTCCACCGTTCGAGAGAAGTAGTCGCTGCTAAGGCCGCGTTCATAGTTCGCGAGTCCGGAGATTAGAGAGCACAATTGTAGTCAGAGGGGGGGGGGGTGAGAGAGGTAAGGGCATTGTCATGCAAAACATTCGAGTCATTCAGAACCTTTTCGAACATTTCCATTTTCATGATTGCTTCGCCCCCTTCTTGCGCAAATCCTCCTCTGTGGAAAATTGGGTCTGTTGCCGAGCTGAACTGTTGCTTCGCGATGTCCCACGCCGTCTACTTCCCCCTCCCTCCCCGTCCTCCTCCCTACCTATCTGTTCCCAGTTATTTTACGCCCGCTACTGCACTGGAGTCAGTTAGTTGCGACATTTTAAATGCGGTGCATGTCTAAAATTTTATGGCTAGCTTACCAATTTTTTGTGTCATTATTTTTGAAAGCAAGGGAGCTTACGATAAGATTGGGTCGGGTTCATAGTGGAAGTGGGGATGTTGAAGTGGCGAAAAAAAGCAAAGAAATCCGTTAAAAGCACGCAAAATGAGACAACCATTTGAGAGGTCGTTTGCAAAGATTATATGTTCAACTGATAGCCCCTATTTAATTCCACAAAGATTTATCGTTGACTGATGATGGTATCCATGGAGAAGTATGGAGATACACCTCGGAGTGGAATATTACAAGATGATAAGACATTGATTGCGGCTAACCACTAATGTTTGATGAATTCCGCGAGCGCTCGCGGGAAGCAGGGTCGAACCAACCCTCCCCCCCCCCCTAGAAGTGTTGTGGTTGGATATATGCAAAGGGTTAAAATAAGAGTGAATAGCGGGGGAATGGGGAAAAGGGAAAATAGAGGGTTTTGGCGGTATGTATAGCTATAGGTTATACTGCCCCCCCCCTCCGCTCGAGGTTGATTTACGAGTGGATAAGAAAAATAATTCAGTGAACAAGGCGGTCGGATTGAATATTTGTCAGGTGAAGGAGGAGGTCGGGTTAAAATTTTTGCAAAAGTTCCCAACGATGGGACGACCCTGGCGGACGGAGGCAGCGAAGAATTGGAGCCGGGGGCGCTGTACTAGCGCGGCCCATTTGGCAAAAAAGGCCACATCAGCTTCCTTAGGCCCTTGGGCTACGTTCGTGCTTGAATTCCTTTTATCGTAATTTCTATCTCTTAAGGCTGCAATTGTAATCGCAACATCGTTTTACGATGAAGGTGTTGTACAGTCAGTCTTTCATAGACTAAGATCATCTAGGGTACAAAGCAGTGACGGTGCTCGTGATAACTCTAGGCGACACTTTTTAATCGCAGTCGATATCGCATACTCTCATGTTGCAGTGAAAAGGTGAATGTCTTTATGGGAGATCTTACGTTACTGGCAGAGATTCTCCCACTCCTTGTAAGCCAGTATCGATTGTGGCTGGCATCGCAAACGACGTGAATTGGGGAGTGTGTGTGCAACTGAACCCTTTATGCCCCTATTTCGTACTTCAAAAAGACATCCCTATCTATTCAGAAAACTGTCAATCTGGCCGCGTTCATTGTGTTAGGGGAGATGAAGGATACTAGGCGTAGTGAAATAAGATTCTGTGGGAGTTTAGGGTACAGGATAGAAATGCGAGGTATTGTGAGAGGATTAGATGCAGGGATCGACTGAAGTCTGCGCTGATGATAGCAGTGAGAAGATCACGCTATCGAGAGGGTATGGGAGGATGGGGGAGCTATGCAAGATAGGACGCGCTTGTGGGTGCTGCATCTAAAATTGTGTAGAAATTATGTTGTGTTAGAAACAAGAGCAGGAGGAAACGCTACCAGAATCTTCTGGGCTTAGAACGTTATTTGCCTCGGTATCTTGCGGTGCACGGAAGAAGGTTGGATCTGTCGATCCCGTTGATTGAGAACGCCAGTTCGCACCAGTCTGTTATATTAAACGTAGGGAAATACAGTATATAATTTTCTTGGTGTAGTATCTTGGTGGATGCTAATCTGCTAATTTTCAACATCGTCGAAGTTAGTAAGACGCACACAAGCACACTGCGCGTACACACTATTGAACATAAAAAATCAAAATCAGGGGAGAAGGATAACATGACACGCCGTCTTCCAACAATTTTGCTTCCTTACACTTTTGAGATGTACCCTATATGCCGGCACAAGGTCCTACTTTCGTTTTTCTCTTCTGTGTGATTCGATGTCTTTATATCGCCATCCACACTCTTGCTTGTTCTCCGCTTCCGTTCTGCACCCTTCTGTTTGTTCCACTCTCTCGTCAGAAAAGGTGGTTTCTTAAATTCGTTGAACTTTCTTCATGTCCTCTGTTACTCTGAATGCTTTGCATTCAACTTTTCTATATTCATCGGTGTGTGTTGCATTTTCGTCTCGGGGATTCCTCATCAACATCGTCCCTCATGCGTCCCTTAAACATTGGGACGCCGTTGAACAGGCGCCTATGTATGCTATACGTTGGTATTAAAAAATTTTATAAGTTATACAGGGTGGGCAAAAATTACGGTAACAAGAGCGCTAACCAAACATCTCGATTTCCTTCGAACCTAATAAATGCATCCTGGCTGAAGAGACCCCGGAGAGAAATCACTAGACACAACAGCAAGATAGACCGCTGTGCACAAAGCAAATATTGTGCAACATTGGTTTTGCAGAATTTTCCGAATTCATGACATTAAACGAGGGCAACCTTATTCTCCCATTTTAAAGCAAGTGGGTTATTTTCCGTGGAGTCTACTGAAGACGATGGGCTACTACGAGTATCACTAAAGCATCGACGAATTAAAGAAGATCCTAGGGTAAGCTCGATGTCACCTACCTACACAACAGGCCATATGCGTTCCCGAGATGACTTCACTCAGGTATAAACGCAGACAGCGGCCAGTCCAAGAAGTGATGTTGTATTCTGTTTGGTGACTTCCTATGAATACATTGTTGGTGGTCCACGTGTGTCTTCCTGGCCGCATTGCTTTTCCATGAACACTTTATCTTGTTACCGTAATTTTTGCCCACCCTGTATAAACACTTTTAACCCTGATGACAAGCATTGTTTCCCGGCTCTAAAAATGAGTGCAAACAGTTCGAAAACATTGGAAAATGCCAAATAAATGAGATAGAACCATGCTCTTTCGTGTGAAATCGTGCGCCACATGGTGGCGCACGCGGTACGCAATGTGTTAAAATCCTGCTGCTGCTATACCTAATAGTCCTTCCCCTGAAGTGACATGCCTGATGACGTCAGCTCAGCAAATTCGAATTTTCGGGGTATGCACGCTGACCACTGCAGCAGTCAGTATCTGCCAAGGCTGACTGATTGTAGGTAGCTAATGTGTCAGTGTCTTACGTATCGAAGGATGTTATCACAGCCGCAGTATCACGATGCTCCGAGAAGTTGCCCAATGTTTTAACTTCGTCAGATGTCAATTTGTTTGTTTGATACAGGATCAGAGAATGGGAATCATATGTACTACTGCACAATATAATAGCAAACAGCATATGCAACAGTCCTTATCCCTTATCCTACTAAATCCGATAGTTATTCTGAAGCAAAATTGAACCAACACTTCCGTTTTTAAGGGTATCTGTTGCTGGAAAAGGACGTGAACTGCTTCAAGGAGTTAGCGGTATAGCCAGACCTGGGGAGCTACTAGCTCTCATGGGAGCAAGGTATGTTTGACACTTTTATTTATTGATTGAAAAGAATGTTGCGTTAGGGAACTTCTGCATGCTATGATGGATAGCGCGAATCGTTGATCATCTTAGGATCGCCTTATGCAAACTCAAGCCTCTGGTCATGACTCAAAATGAATAAACACTGATCAACTCACAGATTGATTTATCACCAATTGCACTGGAACGAGGTCCTCGAAACAGTAATGCGAGCAAACGCAACACAGCAATGAATAATAACGAATAGG